GTATATGTTTATATATGTCTATATTTTTAATGTTTATATCTATCGGTATATATATATGTATATAAACAAACCTTGATATATTTGTGTCTTTGTCTTTATTTGTGTCTGTGCGTGACTTTTTGTCTGTTTGTAATGTCGTGTCTGTGTACGTATGTATGTACTTATGTTTGTATGTATTTTATAATTGTATATATGTATGTATATGTATATGTATATATATATATATATATGTGTGTGTGTATATGTATATATATATATATATATATATATATATATGTATATATATATATGTGTGTGTGTTTGTATTTATATATTTATGTATAGATACATAAGGGAAAATTAGATACAAGTATGTATTATATATATATATATAATATAATATATATGTATATATTTCTTTATGTAGGTATGTATGTATGTGTGTACGTATGTACGTATGTATCTGTATATATGTATATGCATATATGTGTGTGTTTGTGTGCGTGTGTTTGTACATTGTAAACATTATTTTTAGGATCTTCGTTTCGAAGACAATGTATTATAATACATATATATATATATATATATATATATTTATATCCCTGCAACTTATCATTTCACTCTTTTCCATTCCTAGGGGTCGGGAACCATTAAAGCGGATTTGGCTGGAACGGGCAAACCGCGATATGTCTTTCCGAATATGTATGTTATCCTATTGCAGTTGTGCTGTCCTGAATGCCTATAGTTCATATAATCACTGTTTGTGTGCTATCATTAGCCTATAGTTCATATAATCACTGTTTGTGTGCTATCATTAGCCTATAGTTCATTTAATCACTGTTTGTGTGCTGTAATTAGGACACTGCACTTGAGTGACAAAGCCATTAAATGCTCATAGATCTGCAATTGAACGCGTATCTGTGGAGCGGATAGAAACGAGCGAATGCGAACACACTCAGTACTTACACAGGGCCAATCGTACGGTGAGGGTTCAATGAAATACAGTACGTGCTAAACGTTGTTAGATTATTCTCATCCCAATATATACATTAGAAGTACTATAGCAGTAGTGAAGTATTTGGGAGGTTGTTGATGTACTCACAGTGGAGTGTCAACGATAATCAATCGATTGCATGCCATTAGAGAGGTTAGAGAGATGGCATAATATTTAAAGTAGTAGTCTCTCTATTTAAATGAAAGTGTCAGTGATGAAACCTGAAACATAGAGCATGACACTACCTCCAAACACAGTGTGGGAAGGCCACGGTATCGCAAATGTCTACCCAAAGGATTAGAAGGCGACTACTTCGTGGGCAAGGTGGCGGACGATAACAGGGGTCTTTTATCGCTCAAGTATCCCATGGAACACGGCATAAGTATGTGGCAATGTCTGTGTATTGGAGAGTTGGCAATTGTGAGATAAATATATAGATATAGATATATATACAGATACATATACATACTTTAGACGCGTTGTATAAGATGTCAATTCTCGTACCACTATCCGGATCCACATAAAGAATATGCAGCTGAGTGCGTGTATGTGTTCACAAGCCTTCTTTGTGTAGTCGCAGTTCGTTTCCACCGCCACATCCGGAAATGATGGGACACCGATGTTTACATATGATCACAACCCACCTGCTAAAGCCCTTACTCACTCAATGGCACTGTTTCATTAGTTGACAATTGGACGGATATGGAAAAAGTGTGGCAGAGTATATATGAGGACCATCTGTACGTACAACCAGAAGAGGTACGTAATCCACCACTTACTCTCATGTGCCCAATCACATTAGAGGATAAAAATAAATGCATATCTCATTCGCGGTTATCATCATGGTCGAAGATATCCAGTTGTCAGGTTTGCGTATATATGGAGCAAATATGTCTGTGCAGACGCTCAGTGGTGTATTCAGTATTTATCTACATGCAGATATGTATGTTGCACTCTATGTGCGTATATGATTGTTTTCGAATGATTTGTAAGTAGAAACAACGTTTACAACATGTACACATATCATCATTTGACCTATCTAATGACACATACATGTAAAACCAAGAACATATAGATTACACCTGTACATGTATATATTGATATATATTTAGTTGTGTATGTGATTACTAAATGTATCAAAAATAGAACTATGTATACCCTTCAAAAAAGTTAATTACATCTCTATATGTATATATATATATAGCATACATTCTATATATATATATTTATATTTATATTGTATATTATCACTAAATGTATGAAAAAAGATCCTTCCAAAGAAACAACATAGATATATGCTGAATGCTTCAGTATATATCTATACACCGATATACTCGAGAGGATAACTAAGGTTTGATCCTGTGCATGTCTCCAAACCCTATCCGTAGCTTTCCCATGGCACGGCTGTGTCCATTACTAGTGTACTATCACACATATTATAACAATGCTTCTGTTTTTGGATTTCAGCATCCCGTTCTGCTTACAGAAGCCCCTCTGAACCCGATTAAAAACCGGACCAAAACATTAGAAATATTCTTCGAGAAACTCAACGTGCCGGCCATGTTCATCTCGTTACAGGCCGTTCTGAGTCTGTAAGTGGCATCACACAACGTAACATAACACAATGTAACATCACACTTATAACATCACACAATGGAACATTACACAATGAATGATCACACAATGTAACATCACACGATGTAACATCACATTTATAACATCACACAATGTAACATCACTCAATGTAACATCACGCAATGTAACATCACGCAATGTAACATCACGCAATGTAACATCACGCAATGTAAGATTACACAATGTAACATCACGCAATGTAACATCACTCATTGTAACATCACTCAATGTAACATCACTCAATGTAATATTACACAATGTAACACCACACAATGTAACATCACGCAATGTAACATCACTCAATGTAACATTACACAATGTAACACCACACAATGTAACACCACACAATGTAACATCACTCAATGTAACATTGCACACAATGTAACACCACACAATGTAACATCACGCAATGTAACATCACGCACTGTAACATCACTCAATGGAACATCACGCAATGTAACATCACTCAATGTAACATCACTCAGTGCATTGGTATGACTCTCCTGCTTGGCAAAATGTTACACAAACACGTGTCACTCTTTGCGGCGCACTTCGCAATGACATACACTGAACGATAGAGATAGAGATATAGGTTTCCTGTGGTAGACTTGAGTTGCCAGAGACGTTGGTCTCGCAGCAGGTGGTGCTGAGGCTGTGTGCGTTATCTTCGATTGGTGTGAGTATTCTGTGTATGTGACTGAGCGAACCCGAATGTGGGACTGGCCATGACGTGTGTGTACCGGATGGACTGGTGATATGCCGTTCTGCCCAGGGGAGGGTAGGCCCAGAAGTAGTGTACTTTATATTAGGCAGTCACCTTGTCGTGCTCTACATATACATACATATGTGTACGTTATATTAATCAGTCACCTTGTCTTGCTATACATATACATACGTATGTGTACACACACGTGTGCTTGGTCTCCGCACTCACCCTCTGCACATATGCTGACGCATCTGCACAGGTATGCCAGCGGTAGGACCACGGGTGTGGTGGTGGATAGTGGTGATGGGGTGTCACATGTCGTGCCTATCTACGATGGTTTCGCCATTGAACACGCCATCACACGGTCGGATGTGGCAGGACGTGACGTTACCAGGTGAGTGCTCGAATGGGGCCTGCTTGTCTGTATGTATGTTGGTGTGTGTGTTCTCTGGGCGCAATTGCCGTGTATATTTGAATAGGTCGGACTTTGGTTATACTGGTGTACTGTATGTGTACATATGTATAGTACACGACTGATACGAATACAACCACTTGTACTACTAGTACTACTCTATGCGCGATAAGAGTAGGGAGAGTGTGTGTGTATGTGTCTGTGATGTTATTTCTATTTGCGTCTGACACCCCATCCATCGCCTGGCTGTGTGTGTCTCTCTTTTCTCTTGTCTCTGCAGGTATCTGCAGCAGTTGTTACGGAAAGAAGGGGTTGGACTGCACACTTCAGCCGAGTTCCAGATAGTGCGAGAAATAAAGGAGAAGGTATCGTGTGGGTGTGTGGTTGTGTGCTCTGCTGTTACTGTAAGTAGGGTGTGTTGTAGCTGTTAATAAGGTTGGTGACACAGCCTACTACCACACTCGGCTCAGTCACAGCACCAGAGACCGCCAGCGGCCATTTGTGTATACACGTGTGGGTCATCACTCGCCATCCCCACATCTCGGTCTATGCGTCGACTTTCGTGTAGAGCCTGACCACCCTCCGTGCACGTGCGTATCATATCCAGTGCGACACCCCATGCTATCCAATCCAATACAATATCAATATAATCCAATCCAATATAAAACAATATAAAACAATATATTACAATGCAATACAATGCAATAGTCTGTTATCGTCTACACACGCCATACGCACACATACATTGCCTGTGCATCCGTACACCACTACTCACAACACTGTATCGGCCAGTGCTCCTCACACGCACGTGCATGCGTTCAGTTGCAACGCGCCTCCCATACACTTCCCTCGACTGTGGGTGTGGCTGTTCCCGTACACGTCTCTCGTGTGGTGTGAATGTAGCGTTTACTATACTATCCCATGCCTTCAACCCCGTAAACCTCTTGAACCCTATACTTTCGTGTGGTGTGAATGTAGCGTTTACTATACTATCCCATCCCTTCAACCCCGTACACCTCTTGAACCCTATACTTTCGTGTGGTGTGATTGTAGCGTTTACTATACTATCCCATCCCTTAAACCCCGTGAACCTCTTGAACCCTATATGTCCACCGCTATGCATCTTATGTGCACACCACTCTCCTACTCGGTGTGTCGTAGTGGCGTATGTGGCACTCGTATCTGCCTGTCATGCACTTACGTCTGTGTACTACGTATGTCTCATGTGCATTGGATTGTCATGCGTTCACCCAAATACTCCTCACATTGCCATGGTTCATCAGATACTTACTCGGATGATATGCTTGTTACATTCCCCACTCCTTTTGCGTAGATGTGCTTCCCATTCACTGTATCCCATTAACCACTCATATTGCGTAGATGTACTTCCCATTCACTGCATCCCATTAACCACTCCTATTGCGTTGATGTACTTCCCATTCACTGTATCCCATCTACCACTCCTATTGCGTAGATGTGCTTCCTATACCCTTCGAGTAAGGGTAAGGTGGATGCCAGTGGTAGGGCGATGGACGTAGATAACGATGCCGAAAAGTACAGGTTACCAGATGGCGAGGAGGTCTCTATAGCACATTGCAGGCATCAGGCGCCAGAGGTATGGCTCCATGTGTCTGTAGACGTATGCGCGTGCATCTAAGGCAATCCACACACACGTGCACCTGCTGCTGTGTGTGTGTGTGTGTGTGTCTCGTTGTGTTGTGCATGTGCGTGATCATCTGACTCCAGAGGTACGCATGTACACGTAATTAGAACCTCCTACGATCGTTAACCCGGTGCTGTGTGTGTGCTTAGTGATAAGTGACGCACAATCCACAAACGCTGTTGTTCGTTCGCATCCATTTTTTTATTACTGAAGTTTAGTGTGTTCAAAGTATATTTGCATAAATATTTTATGTTATAAGTTTGTGTAGTATGTTTGGTGTGCTCGTCATCTAATCTATCGTGTGTTCATTCGAGTCTTTCATGTTATAATTTTGTGTAGTATGTTTGGTGTGCTTGTCATCTAATCTTTCGTGTGTTCATTCGAGTCTTTCATGTTATAAGTTCGTGTAGTATGTTTAGCGTGCTTGTCATCTAATCTATCGTGTGCTCATTTGAGTCTTCCATGTTATAGGTTTGTGTAGTATGTTTGGTCGTGTGTTCATTCGAGTCTTTCTTGTTATAATTATGTGTAGTATGTTTGGCGTGCTTGTCATCTATCTATCGTATGTTAATTCGAGTCTTGCATGCTATGAGTTTATGTAGTATGTTTGACGTGCTTGTCTTCGTGTGTTCATTTGATTCTTTCTTGTTGTAAGTTTGTGAAGTATGTGTGGTGTGCTTGTCATCTAATCTCTCGCGTGTTTAATCCTTTTGCATGTAACATAACCGTATCCGCCTACATCAGGACTGCTCATTGTCCGTCATATATGCATAACCCCATCCCCTGATGTTATCAAAGCAAACCTAATAGGTTTATTACTGCAACCGCTGAAGTACCTGTGTGCGTATCTAATACATCTGCGTTGATCCGTGCTACACCTTGCAGGTGCTGTTCAAGCCGGATCTGATTGGCGCGGAATACGACGGTATACACAACAATGTTCTCAGGACCATCAACGAGTGCGACCGTGATTTGAGGGACAACCTCATGAAGAATATTATACTGAGCGGAGGCACCACAACCACGCCAGGTAGGTACAAGACGCTCTGTTATGCATGTGCAGGACAACTGATATTGTTCACCACGCCGCATTAGAAGTGTTCTGCATGTGCATGAAAAGTTACTTTGTTATGCATGTGCATGAGAAGTTACGGTATGCATACTTGACTATGTTCCCGTGGCTCTGTGTGTATGTTTGTGTGTCTACTCTTAGAATGCTGCTTGCTACAGACCTTATGGGTTGAGAGTGGGAGTCGATTCCTGATCAATCCATTGTAGGTTTGTGCTCGGATTTGCCTCGTTTGATTGCGCGCATTGATGTGTACATGCAGCATTTCACTATGCACAATCACACGTACGTGTATCTGTGAATCTATGTAAACGTATGTGCACACACATCAATGTGTACGCTTCTATATACCCGTGTACCGGTGTATTCGTGCGACCCCTACATACAAATCTAACCCCTATTTTTCCAGCAAGTTCACCATGATCTTTAAAGAGTCTCCCTTGTCCAATCATATCTCAAGGTTTTGGCGCGAGATTAACCAATGAACTGCATCGTAGTCGGCCAGGCAACGACATCAAAGTAACGGCACCTAAAGACCGGTTATACTCCACCTGGGTGGGAGGCTCTATCCTAGCCTCGTTATCAACTTTCAAGCAGGTCAGTGATCTTTGTCCGTGTCTGTGTCTGTGTCTGTGTCTGTGTCTGTACACATACGTATGTGTGTGTGTGTGATTTAACGTGTTGGGTGGGTTCGCTGTGCGAAAGCGAAGCGACGGATTCATGCAACCCTTTGCTGGGCAGTTTTAAAATGTGCACGCGTGTATGTTTTTGTTTGCCTCCTTCATTATGGCTTGAATTTGCGAAGGCTTTAGCATGCATTTGGAGTCGAGTAGACATGCCCATGTATCAACATCCTTTATCGCATTCCCACCTCGGAAGTACCTACGTACGTAACGCATTACCATTTTGGCGTGTCTATACTATTAAGTGATATCAAATAATTAAACCTGGTATTCATTTGCCACAGATGTGGATATCACACTCCGATTACGACGAATACGGAGTGCAACGAATGGTGGAGAAACTATTTTAGATCTGAGAAGATGCATTCATGTGCTACATTTCGAAATGGACTGAACGTACTAGTGAAAGAAATCAGACCACAATAAATATAGTAGAACGTGATACAAGGCCGTGTCCATATGATTTCGATACTGAGACTGTTGTTGTCTTTTATCTAGCATGTTAAAACTATTTGTGCGCAGACAGATTTGCTATATAGCCGCACAGATATACTGGTAATGACGGCCACATCACTACGTTCAAATTCTCAAAACGCTCGTGTATCCTACTGACTTCTATCTAGCATGTTGTAAGTATTTGTGCGCTGACAGTTATATTATATAGCCATATACACATACTGGTATTGACGGCTACATCAGTACATTCAGATTCTCGTAACGCTTGTGTATGTTGCTGACTCTAATCTAGCATGTTGGAAATGTTTTGTATGTTGACAGTTTTGTTATATAACCGTATACACATACTGGTATTTACGGCTACATCAGTACGTTCGAATTCTCAAAACGCTCGTGTATGTCGCTGACTTCTATCCAGCATGTTGGAAATGTTTTGTATGCTGACAGTTATGTTATATAGCCGTATACACATACTGGTATTGACGACTACATCTATCAATCGCTCGCGTATAAACTAGATGTTGAATAGATCTTGAGCTGTTGACTCGCATCTATGAATAATTTGTAAATAGATCTCAAGCAAACATATGATATGAATAGATCTAATCCAGTAGAGCAGCTGATACACGTCTATGAATATGCATAGTGAACTGAACAGATCTCAAGCAGTTATGCGACAAAATCTAAACAGAACTAAAGATAATCTATCATACCCGCCGATCTTGCCTATGCGTGTTGTACATTACTTGGATCCTAGTTATAAAACGTGACTAGTAAAGCTAATACACTTTGGAAAACTCTTGATCAAGAATGGTGTAACGCGAGAACGAGAAAATATTTTAATTTTACTAACACGATAGTTCTATGACCTAATTACTAATCAAAGCTATGAACTATATAATATTCTGTGGTTTAGGTACATAATGAATTACTTGATCTTCTTAGTCTCCATGGCCTTAGCTTCCTCAAGCAGCTCACTGAACTGTGCTTCAAACTTATCCACAACGGCACGAGAACCTCCAACCAAGTTACCCTTCTCCGTTAGCAAACCGAAGAACACTTTACCGTTGTACGACATAACACCCATACCCAAACTTGATCTGTTAATCTGAGGAATCATGGGTGCGTATTTCGTTAGCTCGTGCCCACCGATCAAAAGAGGAGCGGCTGGTCCGGGCACATTGGTAAGTACAGCCTGCAGACGGTTACCTCCTGCGTCCATTAAGTAATTGTTGAACGCATGCAGCATTTTAAGGAAAAGCTTGCTTCCATACAACGCGTTACTACTGGAATAGCTTACTGAAGGCATGGGAGATAGCTTCAGCATGTTCATTCGGTTGTGTAGGAAGGCCATACGAGCCTTAGGATCCGCTACACTAGTAGGCAAGAAGGTTATAGCCATGGTGGCTTTGTTAGCTAGACCCTCATCGTTTACACTGCGCATAGAGAATGGGATACCAACAGTCAAGTCCTGGATGGGCTCGTTATTTTCCACCATGTATTCACGAATAGCTCCAGTGGCGACTGAAAGAACCACATCGTTTACTGTCATGCCAAAAGCGTTCTTGATAATTTTGACATCTTCTAGCGGAACACCTTCAGTCCAAGCAACTGACTTAATACCCTCAGCATTGGGTGCAGCCTTGGTGAATGAAACTTTGGGTCTAAATCCTAAAACCAAACCATCCCACAATGCCATAAGTAAACACTGGAGTGTAAACAGCAGCTGGAAGATGAAGGCTTGCAATTGCTTCAAGTAGTTCACTACGACCATTTGAGTGGACTTCGTGGACATCTTGTTAGACGAAGCACTGCTGCGACGTCTCTTTTTCTTGTCACCTCGATTGCCTACTGAGTACTGTACTTGTTCAGTTCCCTTGGTGGTAGTTACACTGAGAAGCGCACGGATACTTCCCTGCCCGTCTGTTATGGCATGGTGCAGTCTATACACCATGATACTGCGGCCATTGGCGAGTCCCGTCAACAAGTGGCAGTCCCACAAAGGCTTACTTCGATCTAAACTAGTACTTAGAATCTCACCAGCTACTTTCTCGCAATCGCTTTTGGTACCATTGCCACCCAAATTGTGCTCGATACAGTGATCCTCAATTTTAAATTCGGGGAAATCTGTCCACATTACATCACCGGTTTTTGGGTCTCCAACGACAATTTGTCTGTATCTACGATATGCCTCGGAGACCACGAATGGCTTGTTAAGATCTATCGCCTCTTGTAGCGTCATTTCAGTGGCAAACTCCCAGATGCAAGCGATGTTCATAGGAAGAGCCTTGCGCTCGGATATGAGGAACAAATTGTCAAGGGGAGTGGCACGCGATTGCGCGACGACCGACTTTTGATTCACCATATTTCGATAGAGAGCTGAATACAATGTCAATTAGAACTGTATGTTAGAATATGAATTCATCTCGTCATGAAATCACGCTTTATATAATGGTGTTTCTCACGTGACGCAATTGTTTGTTGTCCAGAGTTTATATGCTCATGTGCCGATACCCCGATAAAGTGACTAAAAAAATTTAAAATGTAAACTGAGTGAGAGTGAAGTATGAAATGCCTCTCGACAATCGAGATTCGAGAGGCTTCGACGAAGTGACGAAGTGCGGGCTATTTCTATCGTTGTTTGTAATCTTTTCGTGTTTGGTCGTGGATTGTGGGCTTTTGGCTTCGATGAATAATAATAAAGGATGACACATAATAATTATAATATATTGTCATACTCCATAATACAGAGATAGGATTTTGATTGGTATTTATTATTGTTTCTACCCTGACTCACGGGAAGTCGTCAGTCGAGACCAGACTCGAGTGTTGACTGTCGCGGCACAGGTCACACACAACTGGTACGGACACAAGTACTCGGGAAGTTGAGCACTAAGAATTCGCGGCAACTTTCTTGTCCTTGATCACCTTTAAATCGTTAGTCTGAGGCTTTTTGGGTAGTTTGGACTTTGGAGTCTTTGGACTGGACTCTGGACCAGCACTCTAGTTGGGATTTCTGATAAAAAAATACAACTCAATGTACTCATCACACAAGCCACACACACTGAAAAGTGAAATATTTATTTTAATAGAACCAATGTCAATGAAATATCGAGTTCTTCTATCATTTCGCCTGTGTTTTGAACTTTTGACCACCAGACCAAAAATAAATTTCCAGCCAAAAAAGCCTTCTCTAATTTCATTGGCTAAAAACTTAGTATTTTTTTAAAGACGGCTTCGAAATGCGCTTTCATGTTCTTCAGCGAACCACAACTTGAAAAAACAACACGGGTCGGAGAAAACGCAATTCAAATTTCAATATCCGTCCATTTGTGTGATGAACCACTAAACTGAGCTATTGACCTAATAATCGTCGTCCAGTTCGTTGACTCTCTCCATATTTGGTATAAAAAAAGTTTTAAAAAAATGTACTGTTTGTTTTCTCCAACAACATGGCTATGAAAGTCTGGGACTGGGACTTGTGCCTTGTGGTCTGTGGACTGTGAGAGTCTGTGCCTGACTGACTGTGGGTGTGGAGTTTGTGGAGTGCGGAGTGTAGACTATGGTGCTAACCTTACAAAGTTACTAGGTCACTGTATAAACGTTAAACCTTTAAGTTTTAATTGTTACTTTTTGGAATATAAAAGTTATAACTTATTTTTGGGGCAATATATGAGTTTTAAATTTGCACTTGAAAAGTTGTCTTACAAGTTTCAAAATATGGGCCTAAAACTATTTTTAGCCAATCAAAAATAGGACAAAATGGCTTATATAGGTATAAAAGGTGTCCTTTAACGTAAAAAAACATACAAATATAAGTTATAACTTAACTTTATCTCCTGGTTGAGTCACTCTGAGGCCTGAGTGCCCGACTGACCTCACAGGCTTATCACGGCTTACCAGTTTAGTGTTTACCTGATCTTGACGAGGCTGACGTACTCGAGGCTCACGTCCTCGAGGCTGAAGCTAACTGGCTGGGCCGGGAATCTGGGACTCTTGGGAGCCTGGGAGTCTGGGACAGCTGGGCTAAGCTCAATACGTTTTTCCGATGCGATAAACTTTAAACGTAAACGCAACAAGGTTTGTTTTTTAAGCGTTTTAAAATATATCGGGGGCAAATCGGCCTTGAAAATTTTCCAAATTTGCACCTGAGAAATTGAACTTTTTTAATGGAAAGACGATTTGAAACTATTCAAAACTGACACAAAGTGAAAAATAGGACAATTCGTGACATTTAGGCCGCCTCCAAAAATGTCCCTATTTGGAAACCCATAGGACTATTAAAAACCCTAAAACTTTTAACGTAAACGCTTCTTTTGCGTTTAAACGGGAAACGTAATAAGGTTAGCAGCTGGGTACTCTAACTGGGGAGTGCCAGTGAGGCAGTAAGCTATATGTTCACTCCGTTGCCCCATTGGGGACGGGAGCTTTTTTTTCTTTTTCTTTTTTGTGATGACTGATGAGAGACTGAGAGACGAGAGACTGATCACAGTGACCACTGAGGCTCTGAGTCTGAGGGACTAGGCCTGACTACTGAGGCCCAGAGCGGCTGAGCCGTTCCGATTTTTAGAAACAATAAAACAGCTTTTTTTTTTGCTCTAATAAATTGCTGTAAATCATCGTACTAGCTCGGAGCAGGTTATCATCGTCACGTTTTTAACACACGTTTTCATGGCCCTCTGGATTAGGGTCTCTGCTAAAGTCGTCGGAAGAAACCTGATTTCTGCTCGCGACCCTAATCCAGAGGGCCGTGACATTTTGTTTTGTTATTTATTTGAAAGAAAACAAACCGTAAATTTGGGTTTAGTATTTCATTTTTTAACATCATATAGCCTTCTGAAAATTATTAGACACATTTATTTGTTTGTTTTTACAAAATTAAACATTCGAACCATTTCTTCGTTTAGTTCCACGTTTACCTTATTGACGCTAAACGGCTTCATGTCGCAAGGCCATTAGGTCAATAGTGAATAGACTGTAAGAAAAGAAGCGCAATATGTACGCTCGCTACGGGTGTGCCCTGAGCAGTGTGCACTGTGCAGTGTGCAACTGTGCATTGTGTGTAGGGTGTTCTATGGTTTGTGCTTGAACTTGGGTGAGCGTTTTTATTAACGTATATCCCGGGTTTGTACTGTATTCCATAGGTCAGAGAGTGCAGAGCCGCCCTCGGAGGCGATACTCAATAGCCTACTTAAAATTTCACCTCTACTCTCACAAGAATAGAGAGTCTACTCTAGAGTAGTATTTGAGAGAGAAACAACGATTTAGAGCATAAACATCGGCTGTGCTAGACTGTAAGTGTGTCCATTCTGATCCTGTGATTCTCCAATCACCACGTTGTTCATACTTCATAGTATCGGTTTTTTATTATAAAGTAACCCTTATTTTGTTTTTTTGTTTTTTAAACAAATATATATATATACAAACAAACAAAGACAAGCAAAGGCTTTTCAAACCTGCGTTTTCACTTCTGAACTGAATATTTGTCCTGCACAATACAGTTTGCGAGGCGCCGCCGCCCCAGAGGCCCAGAGTCTCAGACCTTGCCCAACCCCAGGAGAGTGCAGAACTGCAGTGCAGACTTATGTGCAATGCAAGTTCGGTCCTTCTCCTCTTGAACCCTATATTTTCGTGTAGTGTGAATGTAGCATTTACTATACTATCCCATCCCTTAAACCCTGTAAACCTCTTGAACCCTATCTGTTCACCACTGTGCATATTATGTGCACACCACTCTCCTACTCGGTGTGTCGAAGCTCTCCATCTCCGAACGTGCTGATCCCTCCCAATCGGCTGCATTTGACATCTCATATATACCTTTGTATGTTTTCGGTTCCATTGCTACAGTTGCTGAATTGACAGTGTGCGTAGTGCAAGGATTTCTTCTCTTACGGCGGCTATCGTGATACCAGTCGACATTATTATCATCTATCGCAAGGTCCCGCAGTTCTCGAGAGACTTGGCGACCTTCTGCCGTTCTTCTAGCTATGGTTGCTTCGAGATCATGTTGTGTTTTGGGAGTCTCTGTAGAAGCCTCCCATTCGACGGTATGTGCTTCACTCTCAGCAGGTTGTTGTGTTGACGATGAAGTTATTTGTAGTAGTTCTGAGCTGCTCGACTTGTGCGTCACAGTGGGCTGGGCTTGTTGGCTAACCATATCTTCCGTTGTCGATGTTGTCCTTGCGTTTGTATGGAAATCGACATTCTCGATTTGGAGGAATGTACTCCTGTTCGTAGTGTCAGGTGGTGTGATAGCGGTTGTAAATTTATTGTCTTCCCAGACAAAGAATTTATCTTCGAATATATAGACGACTCGGCTTTGTAATAGACGCCTGGTCAGAGGTGGGTATATACGATACGAGTCAGGTGTTGTGTCCAAGGATTGTAGAAATACGGCCTCCGGTCAGTCTAAAATATCAAGATTAATTGAGATAATACATTGGTTTTATTATATATTAAATATTTTAATACAAACTCTTTTCCAATATTTCCAAAGTGTTCTATATTCACTTTGATGGCTCAATAG